TTCTGTAGGTCCCCTAGGAACTGAAGCTTGCTGTAATAGTTCCTTGCTTTTGTGAAACCAACTGCAGCAACACACCAGAAAATTTGTGCCCCATACCCACAGACAGGAGGAGAACATAAAAATAATGGAAAACAGGACACCTTTAGTGTCTGACTACCACTATGGCTCAACATGCCTTCTCATACAAGCCAGTCATGGGATGTCTTTTCCCCAGACCTCCTCCCTCAATAGCACTTTCTACTTTCACTCCAGGCTTTTCTGACCCAGCTATATGATACCACTCCTGACCCAGTAATCAGTAGCAGAGAATGGGATGTGTTAGAGGGGGCGCATAAGTGTCTTCCATGACAGTATGATACAGAGGCCTAAGTGTCAAGGTTAGGTTCATGAGAGGCCTTCAACAGCTCTGTCTTAAATGTTTCCACTTATTACTTGCCCACAAAATCATGTGTGGCTTTTGCTAAAAATCTAATCAACGAAGGGTCTGGTCTGAGGAAATGTGTGTGTGTGTGTGTGTGTGTGTGTGTGTGTGTGTGTCTGTGTGTGTGTCTGTGTGTGTGTGTATTGACATCTCACTACATAACCCAGGTTAGAACTGAGCTCCTGGTAAAAATAATCCTTTTGCTTCAGCTTCCCAAGTAACCTAAGATCCTAGAGGCATTCCACTACATCCAATTATGAAGGAAGCACCTTTTAATACAAAGGGGGAGGCTAAATTGATAAAAATTGGGACTTCGAAATTGCATGACATTTGCCTCACAAGTGAACATTGTATATCTTTGCTTGGGCAGGTACCAAGTTGTTGGTCCTACTTACTTCTGGGGAAGTTTGGGGGTGTAGTAGGGAAGGACAAAAAGAATATGTGATGGCTTATGTGGTTGTTAGTTCCCCAGGGGTTCTTACAGAGATGCCTGGTCCAGGCTTACCGGCTGGACCACACTCCCAGGAGACAGATGACAAGTTACCCTGAATGTGGGAGATTGGGTCAGACATCCTCCTCCAGGCAACCAAACAGACTTGTGTCTACTAAAGAACTGGTATGGAAGTTTTCCCACGTTTGAGTTTTCCTGCCATGGAAACAAGGAGATCTGTGATGTCATCAGTACCCAGTGACATCACAATCAGACTCTGAGTTGAAGGGCAGGTCTGAGGCCTCAGTGTTTGGTGGAGGAGAACAGGGAGAAGGCAGAGGAACCCTGCCTAAGCCTTCCTAACTGGCCTCCCTATTCATATCTTCATCAGGTAGCTATTCCCTATGAAGCACACCTGTGGGAGGGGCATACCCTAGCGAACATAGGAGCAAACAAGAACCCCAAACTCTGAGACCACTTGTAATAATACAGGAGGTAGTGCATAGCAAAGCTGCATGGGGAAGTGGGCAGGACTTGTCAATTTCAAGATCAAGGGCAGTGCCAGATGATTCTCAGGATCACATCTGTAGAACTTCTTGAAAGCTCACATGAGATTTGGACAGTGTAAAGAAGGAAGACCAGACGCCTCAAGGAGCTTGCTATCATAGCTCCTCAGGGTATCCCGCCCTGTGTCTCCTAGCTGTAGGATGCACCTTTGTTGTCACTTTTTATCCTTTTCTCTGTTTGGCCCAAGTTTGCTCTTCAGAGCTAGTTCTTCCCTTACCCCTTCACCTTTCATTTTCAAATAAACTTTTGGCACTATTTTTGGCTTGTCTTGTCCAATTCTTTGTTCAAGACAAGAAGGACCTGGAATACTTTTGTTTGGCAATCCATTTTTAAAGGAACTACCTGACAGTATGACTAGAGACAGAGCTCAATAGTACAGTGTTTGTCTCACATAGATGACATCCTGGGCTCAATTACAGTACTGGAATTAAAAATCAACCAAAAAGCATGTGAACTACATGAACACAATATCTGACACTTAAGGTTGCAGGGTAAATGCCAACTCAAAGGAGGAGTGGTATCTTCTGGTGCTCAGACATGCTTTGACATGTACCTCTATGAAAAGATATCTCATGGTATTCATGGGGAGCTGTTTATGAATTATGATTTCCCCCTCACTCTGCAAAGTGACATTTACAGAGCAGAGAAGGTAGGCTTTGGGGTCTACCCCTGGAATGTGAGCCTGGTTCCAAGCATGAGCTTCTTGGTCACTGAAGCTTTCCAGGACTAGCAGATGCAGGTTTGGCTACCTAGTCCTTTGTTGGGGTGGCAGTGGTGAAGCAGAAATCCTGACCTAACTGCAGCCATTTTGCTTAGTAAAGCTACAGTCATTCTGTTCTCTGCCACTGACCTCAGCTAAATTGTATGGTTTGTCATCAAATTGAAACTTCTGTGAATGAGTTAAAAACTTTGCTACATATGACTATGCTCACAAGACAACCTTCAGCAAAAGCTATCTTGTTCTTGTAACTTCTGTTTGTCACCTTACAAATAAGACAAGCTCTCTGTAATCAACACCTCAGACTTTGGACATTACTCCTCTGGGGTCAATTAGCATTAATAAAATTTCCTTCTCCTGAGCTCCTGGCTACTGTTGACTTTTTTCCTGCATCAATGGAAGGATCCCCATTGACCCACCTGGGTTCTCTGCTTCAACCATTGCTGGGGGACAATGGAAGGTTCCCCACTGGCCCACCTAGGTGCTGGTTTCTCTGCTTCAGCCTTTGCTGGGGTGGTGATGGGGGAATTCCCCATAGGCCTGATAGCCACCAACCAGGAAGTAGGTCCTCATGGCAAACCACCTGGGTTTTTCCACATCCTTGGTAAGAGAACATGGTAGTAACACAGTAGTATAGGAGGAATTGTGGGTAGCACCACTGCTTGAAAGAAAACCAGAACTGATGAGTCAGTTCTGCTTTATACATCATGCTGCCACAACCTCCCTCTCATATACTCTCCTGGCTAAAGCCCTCTTGTCTACTTGGCATTCCAATCATAGCCTTGCCCTGTCACTTCTATAGGTTCTGTATGTAGGAAGGGATGTTTGTTGTAAAAGCCCATGGCTTCCATGGAACTAGAAGCAGGAGGCCAGACCTACATGCATTCCCACAGAAGCCCCCATTCCTACAGAAAGCTGGAGAACCCTAATGTAATTGCAATGGATCCCGAGTCTCTCAGGATAGATTAGCCTTAGCCTTCTCATACCAGCCCCAACTTCCTGGAATGCTTTTTCCTCAGATCTCCAGTCTCAAGGCTTTTTGTCCAGCTGTATGACACTACCCTTTCCCCAATACGCAGCACTTCAGAATGGAATGTGTCTGAGAGGGCCCATGTGTGTGTCTCCATGACAGCATAATGATGCCTGTCTCAAGGTGAGGTTCATGACAGGCCTTCAGTAGCTCTTCCTCAAACTGCATTATTTATCACTTTAATAACAAAAGTACATTGGTTTTGCTAGTGTCGTCAAGAAAGGGTCTAAAGGAAGCATAATTAAAAAAAAAAAAATGGATAATCACTATATTGGCCAGGCTGGTCTTAAATTACTGATCCTCCTGCCTCAGCTTCCAGAGTAACAGGGACTACAGGTGTACTCCACAGCACCTTGCTAGGAAGGAAGCCCTTTGTAGCTAAAGGGAAAGCTAAACTGATAAGAGTTAGGGCTTTTTTAAACACTGGCCCAGAGAAAATACGTCATTTGCCTTTATCAGTAAGCAACAGTTAATTAACTGTTCATGCTGTTCATAACTGGGGAAGTTTTGAGGTATGGTTGGCAAGCAAAAAGAAATGCAAGCCTGTAATCCCAGTACTTGGGAGGCTCAGGCAGGAGGATTGCTGCAAGTTCGAGGCCAGCCTGGGCTACAAAGTGAGCCCCAGGCCAGCTTGAACTGCATAGTGAAACCCTGTCTCAAAAAGACCAAAAATAAAAAAACACACAAACAAAAAACCCAAAGTGATGAGGTTGCATGTATACCAAGGTCTCTTGCACAGATGCCTAACCCAAGCTTACCTGCTACAATGGCTATCCAGAGCACAGATGAAAAGTTAGCACAAGTGTACACAACCCAGTCAGACATTCTCTTCCAGCCAATCACAGACTGATGTCTAGTTGAGAGCTGGTAAGGAAAGGGTCCCATGTTTGAAGTTTCCCTGCCATGGAAACCAGGAGGCCTGTGATGTCCCACCACCCAGAAGTCACATTTGGAATCTGTGAGTTGATGGACAGGCTTCAGGTCTTCCGTGTTTGGTGGAGGATAACAGGGAGAGAGGAGAAGCTTTCCTGCCTGGGCCTTCCTACTTGGCTTCCTTACCCGTATCCTCTCCAAGTAGCTACCTCCTGTGGAGTACACCTATAGGGGGGCACATCCCCAGTGAGCACAGTGGGGCAAATGAATCCCAAATTCTGAGATTGGACAGAGCCAAGATTAATGTAAGGCACAGTCTGTGTGGCTCTTGACCCTGTGCATACCATAGTTGAAGAGTAGGCTCAGGGCGTGACTTCTTGGAGGTGGGCCTGAAGCCTAAATGAGATTTTGACATGTACAGACGAAAGACATTCTAATTGGGAAGAAATAAAAACACTTTCTTGGTCTTGTTCTGCCCACGTGTACATCCATAGAATTATGTTTGCCAGGTGTGGTGGCGCATGCCTATAATCCCAACACTCAGGAGGATCACCATGAGTTCAAGGCCTGCCTGAGCTTTATATAGTAGTGAGTTCAAGGCTAGCCTGAACTGCAAAGTGAGACCCTGCCTCAAAATCAAATTTAAAAATATTTTCAAAACTAATGTCTCAAAAAATAAGAGGTAAAGGGGCCTACTTAAGGTCACATAGGTAGTAGGAGTTGTGCTCAACAGTGGGGCTCCATATTGCTTATCTTTATTTTTTTCCATCTTTTTGAGCAGGGTCTCACTACGCACTATGCAGGCTGGCCTTGAACTCACTTAGTAGCCCTGGCTGGACCCTAACTTGTAGCCATCTTCCTGCCTCAGCCTCCTGAGTGCTGGGGTATGTTGCTTATTTGGAGCTCCAGATTTATAGTTGACAATAATGGGACGATAAGCTCATCACATTTGACACTGACAGACCCTGGGAATGTTTAATATGTCCAAGGCAAAATGAGGGACTCCAATGATTTTACAAAGTGGGAATAACAGACTTGTTTAACATGAAATTCAAAACACATTCATGACAAAATGACAACCTAATCATTTCACTCTCCAGTTATAAGAAGAAAAACAATCAGGCTGGGGATATAGCTCAGTGGTAGTGTTTGCCTCACATGCCTGAGGCCCTAGGTTCAATCCTAGCATCACAAAACAAACCAACCAAAACAAATACCACCCCCTCCAAGAAATCAACAACTGAAAACAAAACATGACTCAAGAGCATCTGACCTTTAAGTGGTGGTTTGGAGTGGGGATCCTCAGAATCCACTGAATTTTGTCCAGATGGTAAGTTTTGAAAAGGGAGCCCATACAAAGATCATTTATTTTCAGAAATCACAACATGATACAAAATAAAAATCCAAAACCCACTTTAGTTTTCTTGTGTCAGGTGAAAGACAACCCTCCAACCCCAGCCGACAGTTTACCTTTCAAAGCCACAAGCAGCTCATCACACCCTCAGGGAGGCAACGGGACAAACCCAACACCTTCCTGTAAGTGTGTTCACCCACCCAAGACGTGGAGAAAGATCCCTGCTCTAGCACCAAACAACCCATCCAAATCAGGCTTGCTGAGGCAAAGGCTCTCTCACTGAGGATGCCAGTCCTGGTAGGCTTCTCCTTCGACGAGCTGCAAGCTCAATCTTCTGAACCAGGCTCACGTCCCAGGGATGCGTCACAAAGCTCATGACGGTCCCTGGCACATCACTCCCCACACGGCCCACCCTTCCTGCTCTGTGGATATAATCCTGCAGCGTGAAGGGGAAATCATAATTGACAACCAGCTCCACATGGGTGCTGTCCAGGCCCCGAGAAGCTATGTCTGTGCAGAGAAGTATGTTGTGGGTGCCCTTCTGAAAACACTGAAAGATACCTGCCCTCATTGAAGCTGGCATTTCCCCCTGTAGCCTTAAGTGTTGGATTTTGTGATCATCTAAAATATATCCGAGCCAGTTGACCGTGCTGGAGCTGTTACAAAACACTAAGACAGTTCCAGAGGGTCCAGTCTTGTCTTTTTTGTTATGCTGCTTGAGGATCTCCACCAGCTCTGTCACTTTGTCTGCTCCTTTCAGCCTCATAAATGTCTGTCTGACATGAGGCATGATACAGTGAAGCTTGGTGCTGGTGATGGTGGTTACAGAGTCCGGGTTGGTGACTTTACTCAGCAACTGTCCCACGCCTTCAGGAAAGGTGGCTCCCACCAGCACTAACTGAGCTTTAGGATTGAAAACGTCATCTAAGTCAGCTGGGCCTTCAGCTATATGGCTCTTTCCCAAGATGTAGTCCACCAGTTCTAGGAAGCTTTCATCCAATAGCGTATCTGCCTCATCCAACACCATGAAGGAGAGCTGCTCCAGCCTGACCAGCTGACCTTTCAGGGCTTTCCACAGAGCTCCTGGAGTGGAGACTAACACATCTGCTGACGGCTGTTTCGACAGTTGCACCCTGATACTCCTCATGCCACGGCCTCCCCCTAGCTCCCGCATCTGCAGCCCCAAGGCGTTGCCCAGCGGCTGGGCCACAGCCTGTACCTGTTCGGCTAATTCTCGCGAAGGCACAAGGACCAGTCCTCGGGGTGTGGGCATACGGTGGGAGTCCAGAAGTGGCTGGCCTATGAGCCGTTGAAGCAGCGGTAGTAGGTAGCCGAGAGTCTTGCCACTGCCGGTTTCTGCGGCGCAGAGAACGTGGCGGCCGCGAAGCAGTGGGGGGATGGTGCTGGATTGCACAGTTGTGGGCCGAAGGACCTCGGGCATAGCCTCCTGTAGTGCGTGCAACAGACGAGGATCCAGACCTAGGTCCTCGAAGCTGCACCCAGATGAGCGGTTTCGCAGCGCTGGGGGCTCGCGTTGCGCCGGTTCGATGGAGAAATGATCTCTACGAGAGCGCCGGTGCTTCCAACCACGTGAAGCGAGCGGCGCACACTCCCAACGGCTCAGCGTGAGGCGTGCGGGCTGGTTCAACTCTGGCCTCCGCGCCGAGACTAGCAGTGGTCCAGGTCTCACAAGCACTGGCCGCGGGGTGCTCTGATGCCTGCTCTGTGGCTGTTCCTGCCGCCGCTGTAGGGCCCGCGGAATGCGTACTATTGGCAGGGGTTCGTCGGGATTGCCTACTACCAACTCCCGTCTTGGCACCAGGAGTAACCGGGAGGCGAGGAGCCGAATAGGCGGCGCAAGAGCCATGTTGTTAGAGAACAGGCGGAAGAGTCGCGCTCCAGTGACGTCATGTACGCGCCACGGCCTCGTGGATGGTGGCTGGCGCGGCTCAGTGAGAAGTGTGGAGCTGCCGAATCGCCAGGAAGGAGGGAGGATCTGCATAATTCAGTGGCTGCGAGGTCTGTAGGTCTAAACAGGGGGCGGCGACATCAAGACCCAGGTCAGTCTTGAAGAAGGGGGTGCGGTGGAGGCAGGAGCGGGGTCTGGCAGTACGAGGCGGCAGCGGCCCCTGGCCCAGTGGACCAGGCGTGCGGGTGGCTTCTGACTACTGTGTTCTTCGTCCCTACGATTCTCCTTTGTCGTCCGCTTTGCCTCTGCAATAGTCGGTTTAGTGCCAGTCTCCCCCTGTGAACTCCGAGATTGCGAGGTGCGGCAGCGTTTTCCCCAGTGTAGATTTCGTTCAAGTACTGGTAATACATGTTTACTGAGAGTCTGAATGAATGGTAGAGGCTAGGGAATGAGACAAGGGGCCGGTCTTGTAAATCTGAACTCTGTACCAGCGCAAGGTGGTAGCTTTTAGTTTATTCCCTGGCTGAATTGGGACGTAAGCTCGTCAGACTTTCTTTTAAGCGGTGTCATCGCTTCTTTACACATTTTTTTCCCCCCAGCCCGGTTTCACTCTCTGCTTCCTTGTCACCCTTCTTGGCTTCTTGTTCTGAACCCACCATTCTTGCGGCCCGCTCGCCTCCAGTGGTTTCTCAGATACCTAAATTGCTAAGGTAGTAATAAAAGCATCGCAGTGCTCGGTAAGGGTTCTGTTACATCTATGAAGTGATCGGAGATGTGGTTTATTTAGCCCTGGTCAAGCAGAATATTTGACCTGAATTCCGATGTTCAAATTGTAGAAAACAGGGGCTGAGGATTTAGCTCAGCGGCAAAGAGCCTGCCTAGCAAGCGCAAGGTCGTGAGTTCGATTCTTGGTACCGGAAGAAAAAACAAAAACAAAACAAAACAAATTATAGAAAACAAACAGAACTACATGATTCATACTTTTTGAACAGATCTGAAAAATGAGTGTCAGATCTTTCCTGTAGTCTGAAATGCCTGTGGTGGAAGAGAAGGTAAATGTTTTGGCTTGATTACGTGGGAGATTTTTAACATCTGGAGAAAGTGCTTTATTTTCATCAAATACAGTTGACTCTCCCTGTCCACACTTTGGGCTTCAATCTTTGTGGTTTCAATCAATCGTAATTGAAAATATTTAGCTCAGTAGTAGAGTACTTGCCTAGCATGTGCAAGTACCTGAGTTTGAACTCCAGCACCACAAAGGAAAAAAAAAGTGAGTTCTGAACATGCACACTTTTTTTCTTGTCCTATATTCCCTAAAAGTACAGCATAACAACTATTTATATAACATTTACATTGTATTAGGTATTATAAGTCATCTAGATTTGATTCAAAGTATGTGGGTGGATGTATGGAGGTTGTATGCTATTTTATACTAAGGAACTTGAGTAACCTCTGATTTTGGTATCTGTGGGGTTTCTGGAACCAAACCCGCAGACACATAAAGATGACTGTACCATTAAAAAGATTAAAACTTTTACAATTTCAAATACCATTGTAATACACAAGTAGAATTTGTTTTTGCAGAGTTACCAGTTAAACCAGAAGAGGAGAGAGTTTTGTGTGGTGATGGGTGAACAGAGTCATTGGATAGAGTAGTGGTTCTAAAGTGAGGGTGATTTTGCTTCTCCCTTCCACATTTGAAAATGACAAGACATTTTTAGTTGTCTCATCGGGGCAAGAGCTATGGGCATGTAGTTGGTGGAGGTCAGGAATGCTACTCAGCGTCACAATGCTCCGGACAGCCTTCTCACAACAAAGAATAATCTAGCCTCAAACAGCAGTACAGACATTCCTTGTTGAAAGACCTGCCTGTTTAATAATTGTTTGGACTTACAACTGAGGTGCACTGTTCAGACCACTGCTTGGACTTACAACCACTGCTTTTTTTTTGGTACCATTCTTTACATCTTGTTGATAGAACCTCAATGTCTTTTTTTGGTACAGTGTACCTTGTTTATACAGTACTGTAATTTTGGTGGTTATACTGTACAGTACTGTAGTTTTGTATTCTGTTTCTGTTATATATTACAGTAGTGTGTGTAAGAGTTAGGTAAGTAAAAACAAAATCATCAAGCTGGAGTCTTCTCTGACCATTTCTTGGTTCTGAATCGTGTAATGTACATACTATGTATGGTTCCTGTTTAGCCAGCAATTCATCTTAATGACTTAGTTGCTGGAACTGAACTTGGTTGTTAAACGAGGAGTGGCTTAGTGTATTTTTGAGAAACCTGAATAGAAGATGAAGGTGGAAGAGAGGCTGAGGTTACTGCACGTGCTGTCTCTTTATACAAACGTGTTTTCTAAACTCTTGCATTGGCCCTGCTCCATACTCAGAATCTGTGGCTATTGCTAGTCATATCCTTGGGCTTAAGTAACCTGGCATCCCTAAAAGAAGTGAATCAAGAAGGTGAAGCTGGAGAAGACACATTTAGAAAAAACATGTCATTTGTTTGGGGATTATGCCAAGTGGAAAATGGATGAAGTAGACTGTGGGGTGTACCATTCTTGAAGGCAGAGCAAGAACCCATGAGTGATAGGGTTGCAGATGCTGAATTTGATATCAAGAATTACTATAGCAATTAAAATTGCCCATATCTATCTTGAGAATGTTGAATTTTCTGTCACTTAAAAGTTCAGTAAAGGCTAAATAGCCAAGGGTCAGTGATATGATCGAGGGTTGTTGATATAAGGGGGTACCCAAGCCAGTACAGTAGCATGCTTCTGTAACCTTAGCACTCGGGAGGCTGAAGCAGGAGAGTTCATGGCCATCCTGACCTACATAGCAAGACCTTGTCTCAAAAAACAACAACAAAAAAGAGTTACTCTATGATGTTATGATTCTATGCTATAATGTTTCTTTTTGTTTTCAAAAATGGTTCCTTGAATACCTGACCTGATAGTTTCTATCCATCTAAATATATCACTGTTTTTCAGATATATAAAGCCAGAATTACTTTGTACTGATCCAGAACAGATACACTGAAGGACTTAGAAGAAAAGAATAATACATAGGTATGCATGTACATTTGGGTTTTGTTCAAATACTTGGGGCAAGGTAACTGTTTAATAAAATATAGCTGCTTTCTCATTATGCTCCAGGCCTTATAATGTGATTACCTCAGAATGTCATAGGGATTGGAGCTCATCTGAGCCTGCCTCTGCTCATTACCCTTCATTTTTTGTTATAACATCAGACATTGCCTACAGCCTCTCTTCCTATTCACAGCACATGTTGAGTAATTTCTAATTGTTATTGAGACCCATGGTTTATTGTTAGCACTTTAGAGATTGGAAAGGTTTATTTCTTGCAAAAAGGGGGGAAAAAGAGCTCCTGGGAGCAGGAGTTTGGTATGTTCCTTGGATTTCAGCTAATTATGATATAGTTGTTCATTCATTCATTCAACAAATGTTTTCTAACTGGACATGGTGGCACATACCTGTAATCCTCGCACTCAGGAGGCTGAGGCAGAAAGATCGCCACAAGTTTGAAGCCAGCCTAGCCTCCACAGTGAGTTCAAGGACAGCCTAGACTACGTAGCGAGACCCTGTGTCTAAAAACAAAAAAAGTTTTCTGAGTACCACACATTGTCAGGTACTATTAAAATACAAAGAAAATTGGCAAAATCCCTATTCTGTGACGTTGGTTTAGGATAAGGTCTGGAAATTCCAACATTTCCTCTACTGCCGTTGTCCCAGGATTGGACCCAAGTCTAGGCAGGTGTTCTACCACTGAGCTATACCCCTATCTCTGGAAACTGGTGTTTTTTGAAACTTCTCTACTTCACGTTAGTATGTAGCTAGGCTTGAGAATCATAGATATAAATTAAGCACTTTGGTATTAAAGACATTATAAAAATTAAAAGTGAGCCGTTTGTGGTGGTGCACTCCTGTAATCCCAGCACTTGGGAGGCTGAGGCAGGAGGATCGCTGTGAGTTTGAGGCCAACCTGGGCTACATAGGGAGTTTAAGGATAGCCTGAACTGCATAGCGAGACCCTGTCTCAAAAAATAAAAACAAATAAGAAGAAAACAACAGAAGAGGGAAGTCACTGTGTCACTGTGCTGTTATAAGGACAGATAAGTATCTAGTAGATTGAACAACATTGAGGTACTAATTGATGTCTTTGGTCAGAGCAGTTCTGGCAGATTGAAGCAGAGTGAAGCAGAGTGAAGCAGAGTGAACCAGAGATAAAGGCAGGGCTGGAGTAGACTGAGGAGTGATAAGCAAGTGGGGGGCACTATCTGTAACTGAGCAGAGTGTACTTGGATAGCTTTGTGACTTTTTAGAGGAGACATTTAGTTAGAATAAATAAATATCACCAGTACTTAGTGGAGCATGGGGTTTTGGTTTTCTTCTTTTCATTCCCATTGGCTGTCCCTTCAGAGTATACCTAGGATCTGACCACCTTTTACCATCTTCACTGCAGCTCCCTGGTCTGAACCACCACTTCTCACTGCCGTCTAGCTGCTCTCCCGGCATCTACCCTTGCTCCCCATAGTCTCCGGTTAACCCAGCAGTCAGTCTACTGTGTAAAAACATGTAAAAATATTTTTTTACTGTGTAAAAAAAAAAAAAAATCATGCTTCTCCTCCACTGAGAATACTTTACTGGCTCATGCAGACGCACCAAAGTCTTTTGAGTGTCCTGCAAGGCCCTGTGTGACTTGATCACTTTCTCTTATCTTCCTGCTGCTGTTACATTGTATATCTGTTACTCTGTCTTCTATTACTCTCTTCTGCTTTCTGTGTTGCAGTCATATTGGCTTCCTTGCTATTCCTCCAATACTCCAAATAAACTCCTGCCTTAGGGCCTCTGCTATGCATTCTTCTATAGATACTAACTTTGCTAATTCAAATCTTTGCTTAAGTGTTGTCTTCTGGGGCTGAGGGTACAGCCCCATGGTAGAGTGTGTGTTTAGCATGCATGAAGCCCTGGGACACACACACACATGGAAATTACTACTGAACTTCCCTTGACTTCTCTGTTTAAAATTGCAACCCAGCCAGGCAAGGTTTTCCAAACCTACTGTATCATTACTTATTTGTTATGCTTATTTTCTTTTGCCTGTATTCCCTCACTAGACTGAAAGCTCTACTGAGCAGGATTTCTTTTTATCTATTTTGTTCTCTAGTGTATCCCTAGTAGCTGGCACAGACTCGGCTCTAGGTGGCTATGGCTACACAAATGACTGAGCATGCGTACTTTTTATGATCAAAGAAAAGGAAAGCAAATGGGCATTGACAGGAAGAAGGAATGCCTGCCATGGATGACAGAAGGACTTTCTCCTCTTGACTGTCTGACCCATGTTTTCTCTTTCTTTAGACGTAGCAGAGGAGGAATGATCGTGAATAACCTTTCTCTGTGCTACCAGAACAAACTCATTTTAGCCCCTATGGTTCGGGTTGGGACTCTCCCAATGCGGCTGCTGGCCCTGGACTATGGCGCGGACATTGTTTACTGTGAGGTAAGGACTGCTGTTTTTCTGGGAGGGTTTTCCCACAAGCGCAGCCTCCCCGCTTGGGTGCAGCGGTGGTCAGGAGGTGGGAAGGTGAGCAGGAACTCCCCTTCTGTGTGCTCACTGAGGGCACAAGGGGATGAGTGTGCATGACACTGAGTTGTTTAGGATCTGCTGAGGACTAGCAGCCTGGGGAGTGCAGATGTGTTCTGGCTCACACTGGGCCAGGTGGGTAGATGAGTATCCTGTTGGGCCATTGCCCTCTCCCTAGGTCATCTGTGAATAAACTCAGAGCTTAAAAAAAGAGGAAAAGGACCAGATTCAATGTTAACTTCTTTAAGTTGGATGAGGTTGATTTTGGTAGCTGTCATGGTTTGGGGTTTTTGCAAGGGGGAACAATATAATACAGGGCACATATTTTATAAGATTATTTATAACAGTCACCCAAAGAATCATATACAAGAGAGTGCAGGAGGGGCTGGGGATTTAGCTCAGTGGCACAGCGGCTGCCTGGCAAGCGCAAGGTCGTGAGTTCGATTCCCAGTACTGGAAAAAAAAAAAAAAAGTGCAGGAAATCTGTCCACACACTGTAGATCAAGAATCTAGCTGAGGGCCTTGATCCCATGATAATGTCCTGCATGAGTCCAGCTGAAGACTGGGAGCCTGTAACAATGCCTCCCACGAGTCCAACTGGAGGTCCAGAGCCCAGGACAATGTCTCACGCAGGCCTGTTTCACAGATCTGTGCTGGGAAGGCCCAAAGGTTTTGGACCATATAAACTCTAGTTTATATGGAACTACCTCCCCAGCCCACAGATGCAGATTTGTGAGTTCAAATGACAGATCCAAGTCCTAATTCTTAAGTAGTTTGTAAAGAAAAGTATGAGCTGTTAGTCCAGGCAAATGTCAGTGGTGGAATCTAGAAAGCTTGTGCCAGCAGGATGAAGGATCTGTGCTAGCAGGCTGAGGGATCTACACTGGAGCCAGGAAGTGTCTCTCAAAGTAAGAACCAGAGCTCCCCCGAAATGTACCACAGCCATCCTCAGCAACAGTGAGGTCCCGAGCTCCTCTGATGATCAGGACAGCCGAGTTCCCCTCAGGAAAGCCAACGAGACATGCTCCTCCAGGAGACTGGCAGTGTACCATCTTCCTCTCCGGAGCCAGGAAGCGATGCTCAAAGTGAGGACCAGAGCTCCCCCAAAGTGAACCATAGCCATTCTCAGTGACAAGGTCCTGAGCTCCTTGGAAGATGAAAACAGCCAAGTTCATCGGGAAAGCCAGCATGATGAGCTCCTGCAAGAGAACCAATAGCTCCTTACAGCTTCTACCAGCTCCCAGCAGTCTTCTTTCTTCTTCAGTTCTGCCTCTTATTCTGCTGGCAACAATGCTCAGGTGGGCCTCCCACTCCCAGCACCACACTTACAGTTCAGCTGGTCATTATAAGTTGACCACCAGTTGTGAATCCACCACAGTAGCTAAAGGAGTTTTTGGTGGTAGAAGCTAGTGGACCAGTAGGTGTACTCAGCCCATGCTCTGGGGAGTGTTAGGTCTGTATCCCAGGTTTGGAAAAATCTGTAAAGAAAAACAGAATTATAGGAGTCCCTGATATAAATAGTGAGGGAGTGCGAGCAGTAGCTTTCATTTGAGCTTGCAGCAGAATTACCTGGGGAGCTTACCTCAGACCCCAATTTTGATATATTCCCTAGCGAGTATGAGAAGTTCAAGAACCTACCCTAGTACTTTTAATATTGCCATCTTTTTTTCATTTTTCCCTTTTTTTGCAGTGTAGGGGCATCAAACCCAGGGCCTTGAGCATACAGGCAAATGCTCTACTATTGAGTTGTACCCCAGCCCTGGTATTTCCATCTTTAAAAGTGACTAAGGCTGAAGCAGAGGCAGGAGGATCACTGTGAATTTGAGGCCAGCCTGGGCTCGTAGTGGGTTCAAAGCCAGCCTGAACTACATGGTGTGAGACCCTGTCTCAAACAAAAACAAAAAAGCTGCTAAGGGTAGAGGTGGGGCAGAGAGGTGACTGTGACAGTAAAAGGGCAACATGAGGAGTCCTTGTGATAGAACTGTTCTGTGCCTTAGGTATGTCAGTGTCAGTGTGCTGGCTGTGATAATGTATTACAGTGGTATAAGATGTTGCCTGGCGGGGAAAATCAGTAAAGGGTATATAGGAAAATGATGGATGGGCGGGAAGCCAAGGGTTTCATGCTGACAGACTTGTAGCAAGCCAGTTTTCTGTTGGAATGGAAAGTGGCAGGGAGGGGCACAGTCTTGAGGAAAGCAGGGTGTTCTGTTCTTGTTTCCATGGACACTGGAGACTGGGAAGTTTGCCTGGCAGCTGGCTGTCCAAAGTGATGCTGATTTCAGCCTTCTGGGAAGAAAAGCCAGGAAGCCTGCCAGGTGGTATATCCATGGCTGGGGACTGGCATGCTAGTGCCCACAACAGGGTAGGGCAGAGCTTTCTAGGGTGGCAGCAAGGTGAAGTGGAGGTAGAGAGAGAGAGTATTTTCCAAAGATAAGAAGTAGAAAAAGGGGCTGACTTTCTTCTTCTCTTTCTTATTTCTCTCCCTCTCCCCCTCTTTCTCTCTTTCTCTCTCTCTTTCTCTCTCTCTTTTTCTCACTCTTTCTCTCCTTTCTCTCTCTCTCTCTTTTGTGTTTATATGGAACTACCTCCCCAGCCCACAGATGCAGATTTGTGAGTTCAAAATGACAGAGATCCAAGTCCTAATTCCTAAGTAGTTTGTAAAAAAAAGTATGAGCTGTTAGTCCAGGCTCCTAGAACATGCCCTTGGAGGGAAGGAACCTGTTGCCGGGGGCCAGCCCCTAGAACACGAGAGCATTATTCATCCTATCTGGCCTCTGGATGTTCTGCTGAGGGTTAGGTGTAGTCTCTCCTGACCAGCACAGTGCTTGATCTGCAGAATTTGAATTTGGAAGGGGAATGGGAGGAGGAATTGAGGAATCTTTGGCTCACACAGCCTGAGGACTGGAGACAGAAATGATCAAATCCTCAAGGATTTAGACAGCTGTTACCTTACTTTGCCTAAGGTGAATCCCCCCCACCTCCCACAGATTAGTAACAGAGAACTACACATTAATTCCCCATGCACTTAGTCCCTGTTTACCAATAGGGTCCTGCAGGGTGACTCAGACTTGAGGTGAAGTTCCCGGCTTCTTCCCTGCTGTCCAGTTCCATCTCTGTCCAGCTGCACTCTTCATGGTCGCAAGGCTCAGGGTAAACGGTGTCCCTGTCCTCTCTATTTGTGCTTTGCGTGTGGTCTGCACTGACTGCTTACTCTGATGTGCCTTCTCTCCCTAATCCTTTGTCTTCACTACAGTGAGACTTGGTCCACTGAGTGCTGATGATTCATTTCTGCCCATACCGTGGCCATCCTGCTCGTCCCATCTGTTAGATCAAGTGGTGGTAAAAGCTTTAGAGCTTTAGAGCTGTCAGCAAACCTGCTCTGGGTCAAGGTTCTAGGGTTTGCTAAAGTTGAAAAGGTGGTAGTGGCTACATTACCATATTTACCCCCTTGGCTTTCACTTTTCCGGAGACCTCAGAAAGTGTTTTTTTTTGTTGTTGTTGTTTGTTTGTTTTTTTCTGGGAAGGATGTGCAGTGCAGCACTAGGATGAAAGAGGGCGATGGTTCTTGCAGCCCAGGGCCTGCTCTGGACAGCCGTGCTTTTGTGACAGCCGTGGGCGTCAGGGCTGCACAGTGGGAGCAGAACTGCCATGGGATGCAGAGCTGTGCTGTGAGGTTTCAACCTTCCATCTGCTCATTCCTTGAGCATTCTGAGGGTTGTTTCAAACCCTTTGGAAGTTAAAGCCATACTGAGGTGATGACCTCAGTATGTGGCCCTTCTAATTGGCCAAAGCTTCGTTTTCCTAGTAACAGTGACCAATCCTTTATTTCAGTAAAACTTGTTCCTCAAGTTTGGAACAGAGGAAATACTGAACACTTTAGAATTGTTTGAGGGGCTTCACTCTGAGAGTTCAGATGGCTTAGGAACAAATAAAGGGGTCTCTGTGGGAGTCCCTTCTAGCCAGCCCTAGCCCCTGGGAGAGCAAGCAGAGTGGGCAGGAAGATAGGCCCATTTGGCTTGCCTAAGTGACTGCGGACTGCCTTGAGGACTGCGTATCACATACTGTAGTGTGGTGCCTGGTGCCCCCTGGTGGATCCAGACTTGCTCTGCAGACCAATATATTCTGGTACCTGCTGCCTGGATGTTTTCTGGGTGAATTCAGAGGTGGCCCGTCTGAGGGTTTAGGTAATCAAACCAACCTATTTACCTTGCACTGAATGTAGGGGCATATTAGACACACCGGCACTTCCTTGGCTGCACAACACCTTCTGCCCTGTCAGCAGAAGTAAAGGAGCAGTGGTTCTTTGTCACCGGGGTCTGCTCTATAAATTGTCTAGGTGTGCCCTAGAAATTACATTTGTATTCCTTTTTATAACAGTGAGACTTCAGTGGCCCCTACTGTGGAGGGATATCATCCTGTTAGACTTAAACCTTTTAATAAATAGGCTCAAAGGAGAAGGTGATGTGTTCCAAAAAGGCCCAGAGCACCGTAATGAGTGATTTTTTTAAGAAGTTTTTTTCTGGCTGGGCATGGTGGTGCACACATGTAATCCCAACCCATGGGAGGCTGAAGCAGGAGACTTGCCATGAGTTCAAGGCCAGCCTGGGTTACATAAGTGAGTTCAAGATCAGCCTGCACTACATAGTGAGACCTTGTCTCAAAAAAACAACAAAAAAAAGTTTTTTCTGGGCTGAGGGTGCAGGTCAGTGGTGAAGGGCTTATTTAGCATGTGCAAGGCCCTAGGCTTATCCCCCTGTGCTATTACCACCACAATAAAAATTTTGTTCGTGGTGAAACAAAAACAACTGTAAGATTTACCATCTTAACCATTACGTTAACCATTTTTAAATGTGCATTCCCCATGGTGTTAAGTATATTCACATCTGTGAAACAGATCTCTGAAACTTTTTCATCTT